CCCCGGTCACACACAGAAGGCGAGGGGTGTAGGGGCCATTCAGGTCCGTAACTGGGCTTTCCCGTAGCCTCGAGGGCTGCACGCTGGTTCGCTGTCCTCCAGGGCCTGGAGAAAAGGTAGCTAACCTTCCGGGAAAGTGCCGCCTAGCCTTCTTCCTCACCTCCATCCACCCTGTCGCCAGGAGGATGCCCTGAGGCCAAGAGCCCCCAGCCCTGCCCCAGGCGAGAAGGACGCGCCCGGCGACCATAGCCCTGTGCCAGTGACACTGACACTCCGAGTGTTCCTACCTCAGCTTGGAAAGACGGCGGAACCTGATGGGAGTGCTGTCCAGAAGCTCTCCCTTCTCTGGGGAGGCAGATCCAGAAGAACCTGCCAGCAGGGATCCTCCCTCCCACTCAGCCGAGCTGCTCTCCCAAGATTCTTCAGCAGTGATGGACTCCGGATGGCAAACGGGCATGCGCCGTGGCCTGGAAATCGAGGCTTTGTGGTTATTTTCACGGAAATAGTGGCACCTCCAAAACACTTCATCTCAGTTGTGAGTGTGAAATGTGGAAGGAATCCTGGTTCTTAAAAGGACCACAGATAGTGTAGTACTGTCCAACTAGTGGGAATGGGTCTTTCTTGACATCACAGAGCCTTGGCTCAACGGACATCATCCAGGGTCACTCAATCTTCAAAATAAATTGTGGACCTTCAAAAAACACCTGCTTGTTCTGAGTTTGGACCTTTCCAGCCTTTCTCAGGCCAGCTCCATCCAGCTCACGACAACGTCACCAAGTTTGTAATGTGTGGGGAGTCAGGGGACAACAAACAGGTGGCTCAGGCTTCCGGGAGTCTGCAGGAGGAAGAGGAGATGAGGCTGGAGGCCTGAGTTCGCCCCTTCATCCCAAGGGAGAAAGTCTGTACAGATCAGCTCTGCTCAGCAGTTCAAGGACCACCTGGGTTTATCCCCCAAAGGACCTTCAAACACATAGGAAGTGGAGTTTTTTTTAATTATACATTTTCAACCTCATAACTATTGACATTTGAGCTGGATGCGTCTTTCTTGTAGGGCAGTGCCCTGTGCATTGCAGGATGTTTAGCGCAACCCTGGCCTCTGCCCTTAAATGCCAGTAGTGCCCCTCCCCCATCTGTGACAACAACCAATATCTCCAGACAGTGCCAGTGCCACCTTCAGCTGAGAAGCCCTGGCCTGGCGAGATGGCCTGTCAGAGCTGTGTGCATGTGTGACTGTGTACATGTGCTGTTTAAAGTTACTTGGAAATTCAGCAGCCACAGAATACAACTGCCAGACACAGGAACACACCTTGAATTGACAAGGATCTGGCAGAGACCAAACATTTCAGGTAAAAGTTCATCTCAAGAAGTTCTCCAGCATACGTGCCAAGGGTAATTCTCAGAGATGTCTTAATTTTATAAGGAAGGGGGAAAAAAAACCTCACCCTTTCTCTTGTGAGAAATTCCTCAGCAAAGGAGTGTTTTCTGTAAAGCAGGGGTCTTTAGACTTGGTGCTGAAGAACGGGGGTAAAGGAGAGCGAGACCTGAAAGACACAGTGAAGGAAAGGGATCATCAACACAAAAATGACAGCGGTGCTCAAGAACGAGTCCAAGAGTCAGTGGTAAATTCCACATGTTCTATCTGAATTGTGAAAAGCTGGACTTCTAGGAGAGACAATTAAAAACAGCCCTCCTACCCCACAAACACCAGGTTGGAAATGCAACGCAGAAATTCACACAGGAGACCAGACGCTGTGGGGTCCATACATTTGGGCTCGCTTTAGTATTAAAATAGATTCCAGCCACCTTTGCTGTTCTGTGCAGTTTTTCATCGAGAAAACCATTAAGAGTTTGATGGGCGCTTTTATATTCAGAAATTTCTATCCAGAAAATTGTTTCCTAATAACGCAATAATTCAATACCCCACATTTAAAATATCCTAAAAGCTTCAACTTCCCTTGAGAGATCAAGCAGCAGCAGTCTGGCCAATGGAGTTATAATAAGATGATAAACAGGATGGCAGGGAGGGGGCCCTCAGCGTGTCAGAAGCCACAACTGAAGCAAAGCAAAAGTTCACACTGCACCTGAACCCCTTCCGCTGGGCCTGTCCATAAACTTAGCGTCCAAACCAGGAGACTTTTTAAGAGGGGTATAACGGTACAGACACAACAGAGCCCCCCAGCCCCCGGATATATGGTCACCCTCATTAAGGGACAGTCGATGTTTAAAAGCAGCTACTTTTTCATGAAAACTTGTGGAAACTGTTTTCATTCCTAATTGTTGGGAATATGTCATTTTATATCCTAGTACATCGCCTTTCCTAAAGGCTCCGAGGCCACGTGGAGCTGCTGTGGATGCTGTGAAACACTCACCTGAGGAAATAACTTCAGATCATAAGTGCAGAGCAAAGCAAAACAAAGCAAACTGTTTCCACCCATTTTCTCTTTCTCACTCAAGCATGCACCTGTGACACAGGCAAGAAGACTGGTCTCGCTGATGAGTGAAATCGAGAGTCCCGGACTGGTATCTAACAACACCCATCATGTCGCACTCCACTCAGGGAAGGAGTCTGTCTCCAGCCAGCTGGTGTCCTCTGGGCACCACCTCTGAGCAGCCCTAGGCACTTACAGTGGGGAACACAGATGACTGAGGACTTCAGGGGCTTTAACAGCCAGTGGAGAAGAACCTGGCAGGGAATGAGGTGTCGATGCCTTGATGAGCACAGATTAGAGTGGAGAGGTGGAAGTGGAATTCTGCCTGAGGGATTTTATAGTTAGTACACCTTCTTTTATCTGTTCAATTAGCTGGGTTTTTAAATTTTCACCTCTCATAACTGCAAATCCAGAAGGGCCTCAGGTGCATTTAGCTAAATGTCCCAATAAGTCTATTAATATCCAGGTGTTTTCTGTCACTCCCTGGGCTGGTTTGTTACACAGCATCTGGGAAAGCTGACTGTTATAGTGACATCATTCACATTATTTAACCACCCCGAGCTTCATTTTCTCAGCTGTATAATGTAGATTAAAAGGAAATAACTCAGTTTTGTTGCATTAAATAAGGAGATGTAAATGGAAAGCAGAAAAAGAGTTTGGCTATTGATTCAATTATTTCTACTAGACCGTAAGCTCCTTATGAATGACTGCCATGTCTTCCATCTTGTTTTATCTGGTACCTTAAGTGGTACCCAGGTCAGTGCAAATTCTTAACAAATACTTGATAATGAATGAGTTGAACTCCAGCAATCATAGCTTATTTGCCTCATAAGATTGGCTTTTTGACTAAACTAAAATAGTTTTCTAAACCATTAAATCAACGATATGCTTGTAATCACCACTGGCCCTCTGAAGAGGGGAGACTGTTCAAGAGAGCAGAGGTGCTATTTCTCCTCAGAAAGCACAACCTCGCAGGGTCTCAGAAAGCTCACAGCACAATCACGTTACACAATGAGGACAATTTGACTTGTTGCCATGAAAAAGGAAAATCAGAAATGGGAAAAGTCAAGAGTACATTGTGTTTTCTCTGAGGTGGCCACGCC